TGTTGTGGCTGCTCTTGTTCCTGTTGTTGGTGTTGTTGTTGGTGTTGTTGCTGTTGTTGTTCCTGTTGTTGGTGTTGTTGCTGTTGTTGTTGCTGTTGTTGTTGTGGCTGCTCTTGTTCCTGTTGTTGGTGTTGTTGTTGTGGCTGCTCTTGTTCCTGTTGTTGTTGTTGTTGTTGTTGTTGTTGTTGTTGTTGTTGTTGTTGTTGTTGTTGTTGTTGTTGTTGTTGTTGTTGTTGTTTAAGTTGTTGTTGTTGTTGTTGTTTAAGTTGTTGTTGTTGTTGTTGTTGTTGTTGTTGGTGTTGATGTTCATAATTCCCTTCTCCTCGTTGCTGCCTCTTGTGTTGCTGGTGCTGTTCTGCCGCCTGCGGCTCCATTGCGTTTTGCTGCACAACCTGTGTCCAGTCACTGGTCGTTTTCGGATTCGCAGCTGTGTCGCAGTCTCGATCAAGGGCTTCTTCGGCTTGCCGACTACCGCCTTTCTCGTCGTTGTTCTCTCCACTGTTTCCATCCGCATACCTGTCTTGCTTGTCTGGTTCCTGCCCACGTTCGTGCTCGCTTTCCTTGCATGCGCTGTCGCCATCGCTCGACTGTGCTTTACCAAGGCTGGCCAGGTGCGACGTCATGGCAGCCGTGACCGTGTCAATGGCGTCGCCCGTGGTTGGCGTGCAGGGGAGCTTGGCGCTGACGGCCTGCAGCATGTTGCCGCAGCCGCACGCCACGTCCAGCACCCACCAGGAGGCGAGTTCCATCTCCTCGATTGGGCGTGGGCGCGTGCACATCACGCGCCACACCGCGTTTGTGAACTGTGCCAGCTGCTCCTGGTAGAACGGCGTCTCCACCTCCACCGCCATCATCACATTGTACTCCTTGGCGATTCCATCGTACGCCTTGGCCACAGCTTCCTCGCTCGCAAGCGGCATTGTCAAGGAACACCTGAGAGCTTGAGAGTGTTCTTATGTTAGTTCTTGTTCTTCTCTGCACTGAAAACAGGTTTGACGTGCAATAAATTTGAATCTCGCGGCAGAGCCGTTGCCACACACACAGCAAACAACAACAACTGTCAACCACCATCACCATGTCGTACCGCGACCTCAGGAACTTCACAGGTAGGTACATGTGTGTATGTGTGTGTGCCTGTGTGTGCATGTGTGCGTGTTTATGTGTGTCTGGCTGTGTGAGGTTGGCAACCAGCACTTGTGTTTCCTTCTGTGCACAGAAAAAGAGCGTAAGAGATTGACACACACACAAAGTTGACTCACTCCTCACACACACACACACACACACACACACACACGCTCTCTCCCATCTCATGTCATTACACATCACACACACGCAGAGATGCTGCGGACGCTGGAGTTTCCGCGTCTCGTGTCCATCGACAACTTCAGGCAACCCAACTTCCCGCTCGTAGCAGAGGTGCACCCACTTGTGCATGCAATGGCACAGCGCAACACACACACACACACACACACACGCACACACACACGCAAGCACACACTCTCTCTCGCACACACAAATACAGAGCAGGTGCGCACACGCGAACACCCAAATACACTCACTCAACGAACAACAACTACACCGTTGCCAGATCTTGATTTGGATCATCCGCCGCATCGATGCCACTGCCACCATCCCCACGGACGTTGAAGATGAAACAGACCGTGTGCTCTTTGTCAAGGCTGTTGCACAATTCATGGTACGTGTGTGTGTGTGTGTGTGTGCTTTTGCTTGTGTGTGTGTGTGTGTGTGTTCTGCGTGCGCTTGTAGTGCTATGTCGTGTGTCCGCTTGCTTAGCTCCAAATCACTGTTGCGTGTGTGATGCGCTCTCGCTGCAGGCAACAAAGCTGCACCTGCGACTGAACACGAAGCGGTTGTATGAGGCGGACGGCCACGCGGTGAAGGAGCTCATCAAGGCAACGTCGCTCCTCTACAACGCCCTCAAATCACAAAACGAAGAAGCACCACAGGTTCGTGTGTGGGTATAGATGGACGTGTGTGCGGTGGGGGAGAGCGTACGGAGGCTGTGCGTTTGCATCGTGAGCGAGGGTGTCGCATAATCTCACGTGCACGTGTGTGTGTGTGTGTGTGTGTACGTGTGTGTACGTGTGTGTGTACGTGTGTGCTGAATGGATGGCTCATCAGGGTGGAGAGAGCGGGCCGCCCGTCACGCTGTCAGACTTCAACCTCACAAGCAAGATTGGCGAACTCAAGGTGAGAGCAGGAGCGGGTGTGTGTGTGTGTGTGTGTGTGTGTGTGTGTGTGTGTGTGTGTGTGT